TGAAGAATACACTTTAAATGAGCTTGTATATGAAGTAACTTTTATTATCAGAAGTTATAATTTGTTAATTATAATGTACACATTTATTAACTATATGATTTATATCACTTTATAGTTGAAACGGCATCGAAAATTAGAATTTCATAATAATGTTCTTCGAATTTTTGGTATTACGAAGTCAGGTATTTATCTACACTTACAATAAAGTGTTCGTTATTTGGATAAAGCGTATTCTAATAACTTCGTTGGTCAAGATCAAGAGAATTTTATGTTAGTTCTTGAATATGCTAATAATGGTCCATTAAGACATTATTTAGAACAAAATTTTAAATCATTAAAATGGCATGATAAATTGAATTTGGCAAAGCAACTTGTTAGTGTTGTGACCTGTTTACATGATAATAATATTATTCACATGAATTTGGTATGTGTTAATTTTATTATATTCAAATAATTTGAATCTTAAAAGCAGAAAGGTGACTAAATTCCCAAATTTCATGTACGTACCTCCGAAGGTTTTATTATTTGATTCAAATAAATTTGCTAATTTCTCTTTTCTATTTTTAAGGTTCTGAACCATTAGTTTCGTATACTGAATACATTTATTTTATAATAGCATTCTGAAAATATTCTTATTCATAATAATAATATTAAACTTAGTGATTTTGGGACTTCTAAAAGATTATCCAAATCTCCAACTATAATTCTCAATCTGCTTGAAAATATTCAATATGTTGATCCTCAATACATTCAAAACATTAAAACTTGTACTTTTAGTAAAAGTTCTGATATTTACAGTGTTGGGATTCTTCTCTGGGAGATTTCAAGTGGCGTTGTCCCATTTAAATCTGAATTACCACCAGGCTTCAATTTGATAAACGCTATCATTAATGGTAAACGTGAAACAATTGTCCCTGGAACTCTTCATGAATACGCGAATATCTATATGGGTAATATATTGATTTTTCATTTAATCTTTTGAATATTATGTTAAAAATATTTTTACAATTTTCTATACTATAGAGTGCTGGAAACATGACGCTGATCAACGTCCAACGATCCAACATATATTTCAAAAACTTAATGCAATTGATTTAAAAAATGAAACCAAAATTTGCCATCAGTCTGTAAAAAAGATTCCTTCATCAGAAAATAAGAGTTTAAATGATCCTAATTTGTTACAAAACTATATTGATCAATATAATGAAAAAGCAAAAGAGTTAGAGTTACTTTTCACAATTATTTTGTCTCTTCAAGGAACAATTGGCCAAAGTACTTCAGCTACTAATATTACCTCTTCTTTATACAAATCTGGCAATATAATGAATTCAATTAATATTATTCCAAATCCTTTATCAAAGGAGTTGGAAGCAAATGACAATTTTGCTCAAATATTTATTAAAGAATTATTTCAAATTTTTATAATACAATTTAATAATCATGAATTTCAAAAAGATATCATTCACAATCTTTACAAATTTATTGCAAAAACTGGCAAGAGTATTGACAACGTTTTTAATCTACTTAATAATTATCTGAATCGATCTTGGTTTACGAGTATAATTGGTTTTTTTTTATGAACATGGAATTGGAATACCTGCTGATGATCAAAAAGCACTTGACTTATATAAACAAGCTTCTGATGATCAAAATTATTTCGATAATGACATTAATAATAACTATTTTCCATCATTAGACAAATTAATAAATGACAATCAAATTATTGGATTAATTTCTCTTGGAAAAATTCATTTATACAACGTCTTTAAAATAGATCATCAAAGAGCACATCGTTTATTCTTAGATTCTGTTACAAAAGGTTCGGCTTTAGGTCAATATTATGTTGGAAATTGTTATTATTATGGTTATGGTACTTCAGTAAATTTATCTGAAGCATTTAATTGGTATTTAAAATCTGCTGAAGGTGGTAATTTAATTGGTCAATCTAGAGTTGCTTATTGCTATGAATTTGGTTATGGAACTGAAATAGATAAAACGAAAGCTTTTGAATGGTATTTAAAAGCTGCTGAAGGTGGTGATAAAAATAGTCAATACGAAGTAGGAATCTGTTATAAATATGGTAAAGGTGTTTTGCAAGATAAACAAAAAGGTCATCAATGGTTGCAAAAAATATGTCGCGATTAATACAATAAATATATTATTAACAATTTTTAAAAAAAGTTTAAATATATAATTACGATATACGATCCAAAATTTAATATAACTAATTAGAGAAAAACAATGTAAAATTCCTAGTTCCTTTTAAAATAAACAAAAAAATATAATACCAATAATGTGAATTCAAAAAGAAAGTGAAATTCTATCATAAATTGATATTTTTTTGGAATAAAATTTGTATACCGATACTAAATTATTGGTTACAGTATTCTCGGCATTTGTTTCCTTATTTATAAATAGTGTTAATTCAATGATAACAAGAGGAATAATAAAGGAATTGTTAACAGAGTAATAGAAGACAAATTATAAGCGTAACTACTTAAAATTTATAGCGATCTCAGTAAATCTTTATCAAAGCAATTTATACATTATTGAAGTCTATTCGTAAAAGGCTAATAATAAAATAATAAATGAATTCATTGCTATAAATATTATTTGTAATTAAAATGCACTGGTTTGTGTAAAAACATAAAATTATTCCAATTTACCTAATTATACAGCATAACCATCATTTATACATATTCAAATAAATTTAATCATCAATATCCATTTGCATATATTCTGTTTTCATATTTTCATCGTCATTATCCATCATGCCATCAATATTACATGAAATAATGCACTCACAACTAATAAATTTACTACTATAAAGTGAATTACTTTCAATATTAAAATTAAATTGATTGTTTTCGATCATTATCTCATTATCAGAATCTGTAAATTCAGATAAAATCTTAACATCATTTTTCCAATTTGAAATAGTTTCATAAATTTCTGAAGCTGATGGTCGTTTTGGGGGTTTTCATCCCAACACTTTTCTAGAAGTTCTTTATAATACATCGTTGCACCTTTAGGAATAGTTGGCCTTAGTCCTTTAAAAATTTCTACAGCTAAGCTTAGATCACTATCTTCATATTCAGAAAATACAACTTTTCCTGAAGAAATTTCCCACATAATCATTCCAAAAGAATAAATATCTGATGCTTTAGTAAATGTACTTCCACACAAAATCTCTGGTGCTATATATGGCAAAG